TTTTTTTAAAAAAGTTGAGGGCCCAGCACAGTAAAGTCCTTGCCTTGAAAGCGCCAGAATCCCATATGGGCACTGGTTCTAATCCCCACTTCCCTTCCAGCTCCCTGCTTGTGGCCTGGGAAGGCAGTCAAGGATGGCCCAAAGCCTTGGGACCCTGCACCCACGTGGGAGACCCGGAAGAGGGTCCTGGCTTCTGGCTTCGGATCAGTGCAGCTCCAGCTGTTGCAGCCACTCAGGGAGTGAATCATTGGATGGAAGATCTTCCTCTCTGTTTCTCCTCATCTCATCTGACTTTCTAATTTAAAAAAAAATCTTTTTAAAAAAGCTGATGGAAAATCACAATACCAAAAAATTGCAAATTTCACAACTGATTTTGCACCAAAATAAACATCTTCCAATTCCACTCTTCCTTGAATTTTCTGCAGTGGTCACAAACATCTGGTTCTACCATGAAACTCTAAGCGGCTCAAGCACGCTGGTTATAACATGTGCTCAGTAAGTACACGTGGTGCACACTGGCCACAGAGCACCCATCAGCCCTTTCAACAGAGGGAAACACAAAAAAGGTTACAGATTGCAAAATTCTTAAGGCCAAAGGAAGAGAAAGAAGATCAGAGAGTCGTCTTCTCTCCTCCTTTCTTTCAGGGACATTGGCCTCCGAAAGAGCCAGTCCAGTTGGGCCATGAGGACCCTGGGCTCAGGCTTGCCGTGGCCCCACCCAAAAGCGCTAGAGAGGCAGGCAGCTCCTACTCAGGCCCCTGCCTTGGCAGCGCTGCGTTCGGACGCTCAGCACAGGACGGGCCAGATGACCTCTCGATTCCACGACTTCCTGGCACGAGAAAATTGATCCGGCCTGGGCGAGCCCAGTCAGCTCCTTTCCTCACCACTGGACACTCCTTTGCACGCAGTGGGCATTCAATAAATACTTGCAGCATGACCAGCAGGCTCAATTGGGACCCCAACACCCTAGTAAGCTGCAAAAGGCCCGGGGCCACGTAGCCCGCTGCCAAGTTCAACCGAGGGCAGCCAGGCATGCAGAGCCAGAGGCAGGGATGGGTGGAGAGGGAGGCTGCAGGCCAGGTCAAGGGCCCAGTGGCCCAGGGATCCAGAGAGCCAGAGCTACATGGTACTTGGCCTGGGATCTTGTCTCCTCTGTCCTCCTCCTCCCCACCACTCCTCTGATGACTGACATCAGTGCCGGCTCTGACATGATTTAAAAATAGATATTAAGACAAGGAAGTTTAATTTTTAATGCTTTGGAAAGGAAGTGAACACAGACCTGGCATTCCCTCGGGGCCATGTTCCTGGGGCCTCGGGGTATGTGCCAGGCCCTTCATCTGTCCCCATCCTGGACACAGCCACGCTTGCCCCACCCTGAAAACCCACAGCCCGCAGGCCTGCCTGCCGAGCGCAGTGGTGCCGCCCCACCCCTCTGCCTGAGCATGGGAAATGGGAACTCACCCACCATTTCCGTTCTCAGACAGACCCCACCCACTGTGGCCAGCCATACCCAAACGCGTGCCCCCGAGGCAGCTGAAGAGCCTTACCTGTGCCTCCTGCACCCAAAGGTGGTGACCGGTCACAGCCAGGGACTGATCCCACGTTCAGGAGGTTGATCACGGCCCCTTCCCACCAGGGCTCCCTATGCAGACCTCACACCTGCCTGGCCATGCACCCTGCACATGGCTTCCATCGATAACTGGCCTTTATTAAAGGAGCAATCCACATGGAACAGCTTTACAGCGGGGCCAGGATGCTACTGCTCTGCCAGCCATGATGTCCAGTGATAGGACAGCCTTGCTAGCAAGCCGGCAAAGTGACCATCACCCCTCGACCCTTCAGCATCAGACACGACTTACTCTGAGTCGATGGGAGCCAACCAGCCCAGCCCTGGCAGTACAGAGAGGCTTTTGCCTCAGTTTCCCCACTCTGTTCCTCACTCAGCAAGGAGCCAACATTCACTGAAGGACCCAAGCAACAGACACAGCAGACATCTCGGGACTTGACTGGGTAGCCTCTGACTCCCCTTTTTGCACCCCCATTCTCTGGATCCGACCCTCAGCAGCACTGTCCTCCAGGGTGCCCCACACTCCCACAATGCACTGGGATATAGAGGTGGCTGAGGCCAGCTGGCTGAAGTAGAGGGTGCTGAGAGCATAACTGGACTCCCACATGCAGGCAGGCAGGCAGGCAGGTGCCCAGCAGCCTAGAAGGCACCTGCCACTCTCTCAGTAAGGAGGAGGAGTGCAGCCCCCACGGCTCTGCCTTTCAATCTAATCAGCACCCCAGTGAGGACCCCCAACACCCAGGCCTGAGAACTCCACCCAGCTCTCCGGGGGTGCTACAGGAGGACACAGCTGCACCTCCCTCCCCTCCTGCTGGGAGACCTTCTTACAGGCTCAGGGCGGGCAAGAGGTGTGGTGGCAGCCAAGGGTTGGGAGGAGCTAACATCTACACAGGAGAACTCAAGTTCAACTCCCAGGAGGCCCCAAAAACAGCTCCATGGAGGCACTAAGCCAGGAGACTAGAGCAGGGATGGCTACAACATGTCTAATAATGACTGCAAATCCCAGAGTGCCGGGCCTGCGCCACTCCACCATGCTCAGAGCAGCAGCACAGGCCTCTACCGACGACAGACATCCTCCCTTCTCAGTCCGTGCTGTCCTCAGCTGCTTCCCCCATGCCAAGGTGAGCACCTCCCCACAGGCACCCTCATGGGGGGCAGGGCCATGCCCCGCTGTCCTCCAAATCCTGGCCACCTCCACCCCTCACCATCCCCACAAAGTGGCCAGTGCTCTGCATCCACACGTGCACGTCCTTCCTGCTGGATTTCTCATCTTCCCCGAGGTCTGCTTCTTATTCCACCACCTCCCATGCCACAGACACAGAACTGGGTCTTGAAGCCGACTCAAGTTTTTCCCAGCTCTTATCTATCACGGGAATTCCAAAAACATTAAGTAATCAGAAAAATCAGAGACTAAGGCGAGAGGTCCAAGGCCTGATAGAAGAGTTGAGCCGGTACCTTTTAATTAGGAAGAGACAGCAAGCCTGCGCACAGCAGACCTGAAAGGAAGAACGTCTCGCCAAATGGCTCATTAACTTCTGCTGGGCTTTTAAGGAAGGATTCCAGCTAAAGGGCCAAGAGAGCTTTCATCAAAGATAGCTTTGATATCTAACTTCTCTCCATGTGCCAAGTGGGACATGAGCCCCCCAGCATATAGCAACAGGCTGCAGATTTATGGCTCTGACCATCCGCCCACTCACTTGCAAGCTAAACATGAATGCCTGATAGGCGCAGGGTACCCAAGACAGCTGGAGCCTGGTGAGACCAGCCCCAAACCAAGGCTGAGAATCCTGAAGAGACTTCCCAGGAGCAGTTATACCAAGTATGGCCAGCAGGTGGCACGGTGGGGGCGGGGAGGAGTCTGGCCCAAGACCGAGCACCCCCAGCTCCTGCTAGTTTAAATGTGAAGTGCTTGCCTGGTTGAAGTGGAACAGAAAGGTGGGTTGTGACTGTGAACGAAGACAAGAGGAGGCAGCTGTGAACAATGGAAACAGGTCTGATTTCACAGATGCAGGCAAATGAGCCACAGGAGCGCGAAGCACTAGCCCACAGGCAGCTGCAAAGCCATTCCTGACATTCTGGCGCGCCCGCCTCTGCCACTGACCACAAGAACCAGAGGCGCTGCCCCACCGCAGGCAATGCCTGCGGAGATGGTCCGGGGGAGACCCAAGCCGGGCACTCCACCCTTTCAGGCCCCAGCTGGGGAAGGGGCCTCCCTCCCCAGATACCCGGAGAGAAGACCAGGGGCAGCCCCTAGTGCCTCCAGGGCATATCATTAGCAAAGGGAGGATGCTGGGGAAGACGGTCACAAAAACTCCCTCTGCCCCCCTGGACTGGGCACGGGGGTGGGTTTACAGGAAAGCCCAGCCCCCACCAGACACAGTGATCACCCAAGGTCACTAGGATGGGAGCCCGAACTCTCTTGGCAGCTCCAAGCGCTCCCTTCTATGGGACTAGTCATGCCTCTGCACACACAGACACACAAACTCCAGAAAGTTTTGCAGCTGAACTGGGTCACTCTGCGCCAGCATAACTGCTCTTCCCTCCTCCCCTGCTCCCACCAAGACCGTGCCCTGCTGGCTCCCACAGCTTCCCCTGGCCAGTGGGCGGCTGACAGCCTCCTCCAACCACCGGGGGGCGGGTGCACAGAGCCTGGGACCCAGCCAAACATCTGTGCTGACCGGGTCTGGTGGAGGGAGGCAGAGGCCGCAGTTGGGACGAGATGAACTTCAGAAGTCTGCAAATACGCCCAACTAGTCTTTGTCACACATGCACACATGTGCGTGCACAGAGAAGCCCACGGGATGCTGAGAGCAAGTCTCAGCTGCCCTACCCACAAACACCTCCAACAGACTCTCACCAAGGACGGGCACCCCACTGCCCTCTTTGTCCCTCCCTGCCCAGGGTCCAGACACCCTCTTCCAAAGCCACAGTCACTCCCAAGAGCAGCACCCTTCACGCCACACAAGCCCCAGCTTGGGTTCAGTCAGTAAGCCCATGGGCTTGGGACACGCGCTCCCCTGCCTTTTCCTAGGATTTCCTGAAAGGAACGGGAGCAGGTGACCTCCATACACACCCTCATTCCACTCCCATCAAATGCTGTGGTGTGCATCCTCATGAGTCCACGAGGTAAACACTCAGAAAGCTATCCCCTACCTGCCCATCTCCAAGCCAGGGTCACAGCCGCTTCTGGGGTACCCGTTATCTTCAAGGGGGGGCAAAGGAAAAGTTTGCCCTCCTCAAGTTGGAACCTTCACTCAGCCACAGAGAAGAAAGGAAGACACCGATGCGCGATGGGGGAGATTTAAAGGGAGGGAAAGGGAAAAAAAAAAAATCCTGCACTTACGCCGTGCAGAGCGGAGCAATGCAGCACGCTAGCGAGGTAGACTCGCGCTGCGGTGAGCAAAAGGGGGCCGAGCCGAGCGCAAGGACTTACCCAGAAGATGAGATTGAAAAGGAACATCATGTACTTCAGGCAGCACAGGCAGCCCCTGGCCATGTTGCACTTCTTAAATTCTAGAAGGAACACAAAGGACAGGTCCAGGTAAAACACCACGTATTTGCTGCCTTTGGGAGCATCGTACTTGTCGGTCTTCACGCCGGCCTCGGCGCGGCTCTGGCCGCGGGAGCCCGCCGTGCCGTAGAAGGCGCCGGCCGTGAAGCCGCGGCCGAACGGGCGGCCCGAGGTGGACGGCTTAGCAAAGTCCGAGTCCTTGCTGTCTAAAGACGGGCTCCGGTGAATGGAAGAATCCTCGCTACTCGACTTCTCCATGCTCGCGTCGTTGTTGCCGGCGGGCGCGAGGGGCGGGGGGCATCGCTCCCACGGCGGGACGCAAGGGGCGCCCAAGTCGGGCTTGGGAGTGGGGTGCAGGCCGGCGGGACCCTGCACGTCCCCTCTCCTTTCCGGGGCTCCCTCCCGGCCGAACTCGGCACCCAATGGCCCCGCTGCCGCTCGGACGGCGACTGGCCCCGAGCGGGCTCTGCGGCGCGGCGCGGCTGTGTGCGCGCTCGCGAACTTGGCGTCTCAGGGGCGGCTGCAATTTGATTTTTCTTTCCGGGGCGTCCACTCGCTTCCCCGCCGCCCCACGCGAGGCAGGAGGGCGCCGGGACCCAGGCTTGCCCGGGCACACCTCTCTCTCTCCCAGACCAGCCCGTGCACTTGGCCGGCGCTCCGCCTCCTTTCGCTCCGCCACTTTGCAGAGCAGCTGCCGGCCCTGGGTTGCCCGGGCGCGCGGCGAGCAGAGCCGAGAGATCGGCCGCAGCTGCCACCGCGGGACTTTCCCTGCGAAATCCCAGCCCCGACTCCGGGCTCTGAAATCACCCCGAGCCCCCTGCCCGGCCCCCGGGCCCGCCCCCTGCCCGGCACCCGACCAATGGGCGCGCAGCCTGCCCGCCCGGCGCGGGGCGGGAGATCCACCCCCCTCCCCAATGACACAATATTTTTAATAGGATTAGCGTTTTGCTTGTGCCTATACAAGTGCCCTCGAACCCCCTCGGTAAATGTCAAGGGCTCCGGCGATGGGGGTGCACAGAGCCCTCACTGGGAAGAGCACTCTCCCCTCCCAACCCCACCCCCTCCTCCCACCCCGAGAAAGAGGGCGGCGGGAGGAGGGGAGCGGCTGGAGGTGCCCCAGGAGCCGAGGACGCCAGAAACAGGGCCGCGGGAGGCTACAGGGGTTAGAAGCACGGCCACCGTCGAGCCGGCTGCGATCAGCCTCCCACCCCCTATGCAATCAGCCTCCCACCACAGCAGCGGGCTCGCGCACACACCATGCTTTTGCACACGTGGTTCTGGCTCTGGCGCGCAGGGAAAAGGGACCGCAAGGAAGGCACGAGGTGTGGGCAAGCGCTTGGGGCCTCGGCGGTCCGCGCTGCCCTCCCGCCCCTTCCGCGCTCCCGCGCTCGCGTGCACACGCGCGGCTCTGCGAGGCTCCTGCAGCTGCGCGAACCCCCGCCTCCGCGCTCCCGGGTGGGGCGCCGCGCAGCTGGGCAGCCGGCCAGGCTGCGAGAAGCAGGTGTCTTAAATGGGGTCCTCCTGCCTTGCCCCTCACTGCCAGAATAATGCAGGGAGGGTGGTCTTGGTCACAGGTAAGACCCTCTTCCGCGAGAAGCACATGAAAGGCACAGTGCACAGAAACGGCACAGGAAACCGGAGACCACCAGGAGCAGCTCTGCATCCTGGTTTGTAATGGAGCAGCTAGGCCTCCCCTAGGACCACCACCGTTGGCAAATGAAGACTTAGCCAAGGGATCCCAGATGGACCCCAGAGGACGCCAGCTCTCCTGCCCTTGTCTGTGACTCAGCCCACAGTGCTCAGAACAGGAGCCAAGTTCAGGTCTGGGGTCTGGAAGGTGGGATAGCTGGACACAGAATCCATGCCCTACCTAGGAGTGTGGGTGGGAGCATCCTCCTTGTATACCTGTCTAATGCCCAATGCCATGTGCTGTGTGCCAGGCGCAAAGAGATCAGGAGGTGTGGCTCCTTACTCTTTGGAACCCTCAATCTTCCTGTCCTCCCTGCCCCTTAAAAAAGACAGGGGGCATCAGCCAAGACAAATGGGCAGAAACACAGCTACCCTAGCCAGCCAATGCCACCAGGGAAAGAGAAGGGCATTTTCAGCCAGGGGGACTGCAGACCCTCACAGGAGGTTGCCGTGGTGACCCCGCCTGGAGCGGCAGGCCTGCTCCTAGCTAGCCAGAACGCTTGGACGCCGCAGTGCTCGCCCTGTTCCAGCCCTACATGGCTCAGGAGGGGAGCCCAGCAGGCCCACCTGGCATGCACAGTGGCCAACCTGCTCCCTCCTGATTAGGCACAATGAGTCCTGCAGATGCTGTATGCAGATGCAGGACAGAGGTCTAGCCCCCCACCTGATGGCTCGGGGGAGCCCTCACAGCCACACAGTGGCACTTCTCCAAGGCAAGGGGACACTGGACAGGGAATCAGAAGACCCCATTCTCCCTTTCAAGTCTTCCCAGCTGTTTGATCGGGGCGGTGGTGGTGGGTGAGGGTGTCCTCCCCGAATCAGCCTGTCCCCTAGAGGGGCACTAGAGGCAGCCCTGCAGCATGGAGCTGCCTGAGGGGACACATCAAGTCAAAGCCAGCTCTTCTTCCTGACCCAGGGTGAGGCACCCGGGCCGACAAGAGCCCCCCACAGGCTGGGCCCTCTACTTTCTAATCTCTTCCCACCTCTCCCTTGGGAAGAAGAGTATGCCTGGTTCACTCAGAATCATCTCCCCCTGGTCCCGGGCTATTTCACCTCCGGGTCTCATGAAAATCTATACCACTAACTCTGTCCTCAAGAAACTGGAGGAGCCTGAGGGCCAGAGGGGCAAGAGAAAAAGAGTCTGCCCAGTGCCACAGTTCTGCTCCCTCAGTCACACCTGTCAGCTGCTCTCAAGTTTGCAGGAGAGTCCCCTCGGGGTCCTGAGCTGTCCCCCTCAGAACAGCAGCAACTCCGCTGCTATAGCTTACTTCCCCCAGGGCCCAAGCCTCCCATGATGTCATCCTGTGACACCACCCCTACCTCCCATGATGTCACCCTCAAGACACCCCCCAGACAGTCATGATCCCCACTTTAGAGAAAAGAAGTGGTGTGCTTGCCAAGCCTCCATCCTATGCTGTCTGTGGCTACATGAGTAGTTCCTGCCCTGAGAAATCTTCCAGTCTCAGAGAATCTCAAGAACCCTGAAGTACTGTAGCCTGAAGCAAGACCATGATGCAACAGACCCCGAGACAGGGATCGAAAGGGGGGAACGTGCCCAAGTGATGTCAGTGAGCTGCTCATCTGCAAAGGTGAATCCCAGTGGAGAGGGCTTCAGCGGATGTCACATGGGGCTGCAAGAAGCAAAACAGTGCAGGGAGATGCATTGTGGAATGTGGACAGCTAGTCCTGTCTTAGGACAGAGGTGGGAAAGGAGCCTGGGGAAGGCTGGAGTGCCGGGACACAGCCCGCGGACAGTCACAGGCAGGCCTTGGTGGGCCAGCTACTGAGCAAGGACCCCCCAGAGACAAGGCTGTGGGCCTCAGGACTCCCTGAGGAGAAGCTGCAGGTACCTGCTACCAGGAGAGCAAAAGAGAGCCGTGGATTGCCCTTGGAGCCCTCTCCATGCCCAATGGCTCTCGGCAGTGATTGGCACAGGAAGAGACAAGGAGGGTGGACACTTCCACAAAGGCCTTGCGAGACCTCAGTGAGCCTGTGGATCAACACGCTCTGTGAGCTTTCCTGGGGCGCGTGTGCAAATGCAAACCGCAGAGTCCCAGGCAGTGGGGCACACAACACAGCTGACGTCCCAGGTATCCAAGCCTGGTAGCAGGGGGAGAGACATTGAAAGGTGAAGAGGCCAGCTGTCCTTGGTGCTTAGACATGGGGTGCAGAAGGCACGAGTGGCCAGGCTGGGCCCTGAGACGGTATCTCCCCTATGTATCCCGATCCCCAGCCCCCTACCCCGATGCTTGCCAGCCCTGGGAGAGAGGCAGGAGGTACAGGCTGTTCTTGACAGCTCAGTCTCCAAGAACGTGAACAAGACAGGGCAGCCTTTTACTAACAACCACGAAGCCAGGACAGAATTTTCAGAGGGAATGAGAAAAGTGACTCGGTGAAATCAACATGCAACATCTCTGCTGACTGGCAACCGGGGAGATGAGCATTTCAGAGAAAATGCCAAGCTCTGCCTGCCTCTCCACGGATTGCTCGGGCTAGGGTGGCAACGTGTCCCCATCCTTCGTCGCTCCCTCACCCACACACAGTCAGGGCCAGCAGGCGAACCCAGCTCCCCTCCCTGCCCTGTGATGCTGACTGCTGCTCTGTCCATCAGCCTGCACAGATTCGGAGGCAGCCTGGGCCTCCCCCTCTCCAGCCTGGCAGCTTCAAGGTCAAGGTGAGCTACAAAGTGGGGGCTCACTGCACAGAAGAGCCTGGGAGATGAGCCTTGTGCTGGCCCTGACTTCTTTAATTTGCTTGTGAGGTGGTGAGCCCAATGCAGGCCTCCCACGCAGGTGGCAGGGATTCACATGGTTATACCACCACCTGCATACCTCCTAGGGTCTGCATTAGCAGGAAGCTGAAATCTGGGAAGGGAGCTGCGACTGGAACCAGGAACTAGATATGAGAGGTGATGTCCTATACCTTGACTACTTGGTCAAATGCCCATCCCTGATGATTTTAACTCTGAATGTGGGACCTTCTTGGGTTTCATTGCTAAGTGTAGCATTCACAGATGTGAAGAGAACCCGACCTTCAGAACGCCTGCAGCTGTCCGATAGCTGCGGAAATCCAACAGCAAGGACAGTATGTGCGGCCACACCCCCTATGACTCAGGAAGGGCGCAGCAACCATAGCTGGAATTAGTGGAAGGGTTCTCAGGTCCTTGCCAGATGGTGGATGAGTTGCTAAGAACACACTAGAAAGGATGGTCAGGGGACCTCCCTGTGCATAGAAAGGTTTCATCCTACCTCCTTCCTGTCTCTTGTCTAGACTGCAATGACAGTTTGGCCACCCACCCCTGCTCTGGTTCCTAGGGGCTTCCAAAAAGACCAGGGGCTGTGTCCTTGGCGTTTCCACTCCCCAGTACCTATCTTCTGTGACCATCCCAAGGCAGGTCTTTGAAAAGTCTAAGAGGAGAAATATATCCCCACCCCCCGACCCCATCTGTGCCATGTGCCTGAGCTCTTGCCAAGAACAGCCTGAGGGCCCCCCAAGTTCAAGAACCAAAGGCTGAGAACCAAGCCAGAAATCCAGGGAGTGGTTCCTGGAAAGCAGGGCACCTGAGGACGCCTGAGCCGGGCGCATGCCTGCACCAGCGACAGGTAACACAAGGGAAATGGCTGTGAGTCAACTGTGTCGTGCACAGCCGTA